AGAACTGGGGAAGAGTGGAGTAGTGAGCAGTAAGTACTAGCCTTTGAGTGCTTGTGCGGGTGTTGTCTAGAGACCTGTGTAGTTGTATTGTTTCTCTTGGGTTTTGGGGCCCACTGACCTGGGTATATTGTAAAGAACGCATGACAAAGTGATGACAGAGGTGGGGTATCCATTAAAAAAAGCGGGATATCCAACACAAGGAGGAAACCACACAAGTAGAGACAGCTTAAACTCAAGCAGTTCAGTACACACACACTATGAAAAGAAAACAAGCTTGGTTTAAAAGGGAGCTGTAAAGTTCAGACTTTGCAGGAATTAACCAGCATTCTGACTGCAGAAACCAGGTCTCTTACCAGAGCCTACACCAAACGCATTGACATGGAAAAAGCAGAAATGACAGATTCTCCCTCAGAAAAAATTCTTACCTTGATAGAGACAGGTATCCACCTAGACCTGTGGTAAAGCCAAAGCAAAGAGTAGACTAGCCAAAAATGGGGGTAGACCCAGATACTTGTACTAATATGATTATAGAATTGATAAGTTAGCAGCAAGAGGAAAGGCTGTGGTTAATTAAACAGGAAAAAGAGCTGCTTTGGAGGGAGAAAGAAAGGAAAGATAGGCTGGACAGAAAGGAGTGCAATAGAGGTACGAAGGGAAGAGTTTAAGGGGCTGATGGACCTGTTTAAAGGGATACAGTCACCAGAAGACAGGAATTCAGTTCTAAAGTTTCTAGAATACATATTGAACTGCTTGAATTTAAGCCAGTGGTTCTCAACCTTTTTAATGCCGCGACCCCAACCGGTCGTAAGTCGAGGACTAAACCGGTCGTAAGTCGAGGACTAAACCAGTCGTAAGTCGAGGACTTTCCCTGCCCGGGAGCGCCACGCATGCATGGTTCTGCCTCCTGCGCCGGCCGAGGCGTAGCTGGCAAGTGGCAGAGACGGAGCAGGCCGACCACCAGCTGGCCCAGCCCAAGGGAGGTAAGGCACCCGCCGGAAAAGGGGAAAAAAATAGCGGACAAAAAAATGGCGGACAGCCTTGCTTGGCGACCCCTGTGAAATGGTCGATCGACCCCAAATGGGGTCCCGACCCACAGGTTGAGAACCACTGATTTAAGCCATCTCCATTTGCGTGGTTTCCCCTTGTATTGGATATATCCCACTTTTTTTATGGATATCCCAAAGACATAAAACATTCCAGGTTGTCAGAGGAATAGGACATAGAAGCCTATTTCATAATGTTTAAAAGACTAGCTACATCTTGCAAGTCGTGTGAGAATGAATCAGTGGTCAGACTAGCCCCATGTTTAAGAGGAAAGGCTTTGAGAGTTTACAGTAGTCTTCTAGCAAGAGAAGAAGTAGATTACTCTCATGTCAAAGACATAATCCTATACAGATATGTCATTTCCTACAACTATAGGCTGAGGTTTAGGAGTTACGCATACAACAAACATGGAGAGATTCATTAATAACGGGCAAGGTTGGAAGAACTAGGCCAGTGATGGCGAACCATTTAGAGACCGAGTGCCCAAACTGCAACCCAAAACACACTTATGCATCGTTGGGTGCCAGGTGGGTGTGGCCCATTGGTTGGGTGTGGCCCATTGGCTGGGTGTGGCCCATTGGCTGGGTGTGGCTGCGGTGGTAACGGCAGACTGGGTGGGACTAAAAAGTTCAATCAATCAATTCCAACTTTGCAAGATCTTTTTTTTTCCCACTAGAAGTTGAAATTGACTGATTGATTGAACCTTTTTTTTTTTGCACACGGCAGCAGAGGCCTAAAGTGAAAAGTTTTTATAAAACCCAGCTGAAGGCCTAGAACTGGGGCGATGGCACGCGTGCCCACAAGAGGGCTCTGCGTGCCGCCTCTGGCACCCGTGCCATAGGTTCGCCACCACTGAACTAGGCAGAAAATGGACAACCATTTGTCTGAAACGGTATAGAATTTCCTGCTTGAGCAGAGGGTTGGACTAGAAGACCTCTAAGATCCCTTTCAACTCTGTTATTCTGTATTGTGAAATGGTTGAGGCCAGAGCAAAGAAAAAGTGGTAATTTCCCAGAATCCCCAGCCCATCACATCCTGAAGATTATGAATATCAAGGACTTTCAGTTTGAATACAGTATTTCTGACCAGCGTCAGAGGTGAGAGAAACTAATTTAACAGTTAAATGTCTTTCAAAGCATTGAGATTGTAAGCTAATTTAACCTACAAAATATAGCACATACAGCGAAACTTTCCTTTTCTTTATTTCTTCCTTAATCCCTAGTGACTGTTTACATGCCTGAAAAATCATCCCTGAGGAAAGCAATGCAAAGAATAGCAAAATTTTATATACCGTGTTGCTAACACCACTATCATCTTTAAAATGATGGTTTGATCTTTTCTAGCCACAAACAGTAAGTACATCTTTTGGATAATTAAATAAATAGCTCACCTTAGTATTGCTATTTGAGTCCAGACCATCATTTCTTTTCTTTTCAAGGCAGGTCACATGCTCAGTTTCGGGGCTTACATCGCCACGACCTTGAAAACCTTCTTCATTATCAGTATTGAGAGAATCATCCACAGGGCCTGCATCACCCTCTCCTTCATTGTTTGGGTTGGTTATTTTTGTACCATTAACACAAGCCTGAATGTTGTTCCTATCACTATGGGTTTCCGTTGCATTTTCTCCAAGGTTTGTTGTACTTTCTGGGGTTCCATCTCCCCAACCATCACTAGAACCTTCTTCATTGGGATCTCCACCATTACCACTTCCACCCTCATCAATGTATGCCCACTGTATACTTTCCCCATGGACCTCACTTCCCATCAGTATATTTGCTGTGTTATCTCCGGGGCCATAAATTGCATATCTATGTCCATCCAAGTCAATAAAGCTTTGAATGTGATTGCCCTGGAGTCCTCTACTGTCTCTAAATTCGTCTCCAGTTTGATCATAAATTTGATCTTCAATGCCATGCTGCTTATCATTTGGATCACTCTCAGAATGTTCTCCTGGTGTTCTATAATCAATATTCTCTTCCCCAGTTCCATAACCGGAATCACTGAAATATTCACCTTCTAAAGTAACTTCCTGTCTTTCAGTAGCATTTTCCTCTGCAGGCATATGTTCTCTGTTTTCATTTATTCTCAGATTATCTTCAGGTCTTCCATTTTCATTTTCATTGACATTAACAAAATCAGCAGT